GCGCGCGGGGGCGGCGGGGGCGAGCGCGTTGGACCGTTTGGTGGACGCCCTGGCTGAAATGAGCGGGGCAGAGCAGCAGGAGGACGAAGAGATGGCGCCAAACGACAGCGCTGAAAGGGAGCAGCAGGGGGTGCAGCGGCGGCAGCAGCAGCAGGAGGAGGAGGAGGAGGGTCAGGAGGACGAAGAGGAAGCGGAGGAGCAGCAGCGGCAGCAGCAGGCGGAGGCAGTTGAGCAGCCTGGCCATGCCGGGGGCCAGGTGCACGCGGCGGCGGCGGCGACAGCGGGCGGGGAAGGCGGAGGGGCACGGGGTGGCAGCCGAGAAGAGGCCGACGGCCGCGGCGCCTTGCGTAAGGGTGCTGGGCGCACAGCCGGATGAGGGGGATTTGGGTTGGGAGCAGCAGCAGAGTTAGGTGCTTGTTCAGCTGGCTGGGCATTCCTTGTACTGCAGAAAAATCTTGTGAAGAGCAGCACGTCAGAGCCGAATTGCTTGGCAGATTTTGAGCGTTGCAATATATCGCGCTTTGGGCTTCCAGTGATTACACAAGATGATGGCACACGCGATTGACACTGGGGCGCGCCGCTACTGAGTGTGCAGGCATCACTTTTGCATCATCATTTCTTGCACAGCTTGATTGCGCCCAGGCGCTGTGCGTGTGTGCGGTGGAGAGCAAGCTCTTCCCACACATTAATGTAATACAACAAAGCACACGTGATGGAGCGGTGTTAATCGGTGTTTGTTGGCACGATATATCCTATGCACTCATCTGCAATAGTATACGTTGATCCAGAGGTCCCAGCCGACGGTTTCTTTTCGATACCCGTCAAAACTGTAGACTGATGAGACCAAGCGGCTGACTGGTACATGGCATCAGAAATTAGTTTTGAAGAACATTTAAAGCTTGCTCCCGCACAGCACCCTCGACGTTGTGTCTGCACGTTATGAGCTGCGGACGAGCAGCGCACTAGCTTCAGATAACGAAAAGTTATACATAAAAATTACAGAGTTTTTTGAGGTATCGCGACGGTGCTTTACCTAGCCGCTCGCAGGCGCGTGTTGCGCGCTGCTGCTTGCGCGTGCAGCGCGTGTAGCGCAAGCAGCGCGCGGCGGCGCGCAGCGGAGGAGGCCTCTTCAAAATGAAGATCAAGGCTACGAAGGGCCCCAGGGTGAGCTGAAGATGAACAATTTGTTCTACGCCGAATACACATGATCAACAGGTTGGGCTGCTTGCATTCAAGAGCTGAGCAGCGCGGGCATGTGTGCACAAATGCACTCCCGACGCCGCCCCACACCCCACAGCGCCGCGCGCGGCGGGCAGCCCGCCCACGCAGCAGTGCGGCGCAGCCCAGAGCGTGCACACGCCATGCAGAGGCAATCAGGCACCTCCAGAGCAGCCACATGGCTCGGGCCGCATTCCAGGAGCCCGGCTGGCCGGACCGCACCCGTTGTCCGCCCGCGCCGTTCCATGCGTCCGCCTGCCCCCCGCCTGCCCCAAAACCGCCCCAAACAGGGCGAGGATTACGAGGCAGATCCCCAGATCGACGACGACCCAGATCTGGTCTCGCCCGGCCCCAGGTCCTTCTCATCCCCAGCCTCGGGGAAACGGCGGATCCAGGAGGCGTTTGATCTGGAAGCCCAAGAGTCGGCGCGCCGCGCGGCCGGCAAGGCCGCGGTGAAGAGGGCGCTCGCGGGCAACATGGCGGCGGCGGGCGCGGACCCGTTTTCTCAGATCGATCGGGAGCCGTCCGATACGGGGATGCACAAGAATGAGCCGGGCGCGGGGTGGCGGGTGAGTGGGTGGGCGAGCGGCGCGGGTGGGCGTGCGGCGTGGCTTGGTGAATGTGAAAGGCGGTTCCGGGCATGAACGACTGTCCAAGCGCCTGTGCCTCTCTTCACATCTTTGCCAGCGTGGCCCCCCGAGCGACGGGGGCGGGTGTGGTGCCACCAGTGACGGGGGCGCTGGTGGTGGCGGTAGCGGCGGGGCGTGGCGCCTGCCGGCGTCAGGCTTTTGAAGAGTCGGGAACCGCATCCCATTTCCTGGAAATTTCTCACGCACCTGATGTTTTTGTATTTGGCTGTTGAAACTCTTGCGGACCCTCATCCCCCCACCTGCACTCCCATCAACTTCCCACCGTGAAGTTTCTGGTCAACATGCTGATCATCTTCCCCTGGAGCATGGTGCTGCTGCTGTCGTGGGCGGTCAACAAGTGGCAGCTGCTATTCCGCCCCATCGGGCAGCTCATCTGGTGAGTCATTACATCCCGCTGAGGTGGGGCGGCAGCTCACCAGCTGCGGGCAGGGAGAGCCTGTGACCAGCCTTGGGGCGCAGGAAACAAGCAGTACCAAGATGACATTGAGTAAATGGATGGTGTCATGTGCCTCAGAAGCTGTCCGTGGTTGATCTTCAGGGCAATCTGTTGCCCCCCTCACACATCCAAACACACATACATGCACACACAACACACACACACACACACACACACACGCACCTGTTTGCGTGCGCGCACACATCATCCCAGGTGGAGTGTTGACCAGCTTGACCAGCGCGCCCCTGGCCTGGTGGAGTGGCTGCTGTGGCTGCAGGGCCTCATCAGCCTGGCGCTCCACGTCATCACCATCGGCATCAACCTCGGAGTGATCTGGGTGAGGCCAGATCACGGGCGGCGGCAGGCCGTGACATTTCCGAGGCAACCGATCCCCGCGTCGTCGCGTGCCGGCGCGCCCATGCTCAGATTGCGCCTCGCGCACAAACGCCTTTGCTATGGTGGTGATTGCCGACGCACCTCGGCGTATCTCATTCACAATGCACTGGCGGACCATCTCCCCAGATCATGTGGTCCAACGGGGACCGTCTGGTGCCGATCTGTGTGGTGACGTTCTACTCCTTTGCCCACTACGCCATGGTGAGGGGTGGGGCGCCAGTCGCCACTTTAACAGAAACGCTGCACAAAAGCAGAACAGAGGCTGACCAACAACCACGATCGACCAGCCGGACTGAATATGACTGCCCGATGGGATCAGCAGCACCCCCCAGCGCACCACCAAAACGACCGCCGCGCCCGAGTCGTCTAGTCTCCTCAGACAGTCACTACGTATACATGGTGACTCATCTATGGTGACATACATATGATGACGTCACCCTCCCACCCCTCGCGCCCAGGCCGTCACCATGTTCAAGGAGCTTGACCTGCGTGAGCAGGGGGGCACCTACTTCAGCGACGTCGTCAGCTTCGCATGGCGCATGGTGGACGTACTGTTCTTCGACATCCAGATGTGCGCCAGCGTGGTGCACAGCAACAGGTGCGGGCCAGGGGCCCGGAGGGGGGGGGGCGGGGCTGGGTTTGGAGCTTTTGACATTTTTCACGACAGACACACACACGCGCGTGCGCGCGCACACACACACACACAC